GCCATCAGTAGAGGAAACTCTGGAGCTCATCTAGCCTTCAGCTTGTCCTGACCTTGACCACAGTGTGGAGGGGATAATGGAGCCAGTGTCCCTAATATCACCATCTTCCAAGCTTACACGTGGTTATAGAATAGAGCAGGTGGCAGCTTGGAGAGCCCACTACCCTGGTGCCCTCCACCAAGAGAGCCCAGTGAGGGAGCTGGGCCCAGAAGGAAGACTTGAGCCCAGGAGAACATTGAGACTATGCTAAACTAGCCAACCTGGTGAACACACTGGGCCCAGAGACTGAAATGTGAAAAAATTAAAGGTCCCACAGCCCTGGAAGATGGGTCCTGGACTGGGCAGGAAAGTGAATATGCCAGATGTTGATGCCCCACATCCCTTCAACTGACTTCTATGTCCAACTGCAGTTATCGTGGACAGTTCTGGTGTATGCTCTCAGCTTCCCACCTCTCTCCTTCTCTGCCAGAGGCTTTTCTCAACCCCTGCAGGGTAGCCTGGAAGTAGCAGAAGCTTAATACTCCCAAAGGGCAAACTTCAACCAGTGAGGGATGCTTACTTGGTGGTATTTTACCCCAGATCTCCCCATCACTCCATCAGGAAACTCTGAGTTGTGATCTTTATGGTTCCTCAGAGTGATTCCAGGGGGACTGAGCCCTACTCATTGTACCCTTCCCTGTCTCATTCTCCTTGCTCCCTCACTCCTGATCACCCCCTAAAATAAACTGCCTATGTCCAAGTCCTTACCTCATGGCACGTGTTCAGGTATATAAAATAGCACAAGGGGTCTCTTTCTGTGTTCCTCCCAGCCAGGGTATGTCTCACAAGGCTGGGCTAAGATTGGAAGTGTTGGAGGGCTCTGCCTCTGGCTGCTTATTGATAGGTGACAATGATGTTTGTTGGAAGGGATCATTATCATCTAGAGAGGAAAAAGAGCTCACCAGCACTCCCTCCCAGATGTTGCGGAAACCAGGGCTGACGTATTAGCAGCAAGCCCCTGTAGGTCTCCAATGGACAACCATAGACTTTCATAACTGGAGAGGACCTTAGGGGGTCACATGATCCAACTTTCTATGAAATGCAAGAATCCCCTTTACAGCCTCTCTGACACCTGCTTAAATACCTCCAATGACAGTGAACTCACTACCTTTTACAAGGTAGCCCTGTCTATTCTTGGACAGCTGTTAGAAAGTTTTCCTTACACTGAATGGTAATTGATCTCTCTGAAACTTTCCCCAACTTGTCCTAGTTTGTCCGTTGTCCTTCAATGTCTCATTTTTCTACTCAAGACTGCTCCAAGTATTTTAAGGCAAACCATATCTATTACATCTTCTATTTTCCAAGCCAAAAAATCTTATTGCCTTGACATTTCTTCAAATGACTCTATCTTCTGAGCCTCGTCACCCTGAACCCCTCCTCCAGGGAGCACTGTGAGTTTGTCAATGTAGCTATTTCAATGTGGTGCCCAGATGATGCTTCAGAATGTATGACCAGTGCAGAATGTATTTTTACACTGCTATGGCCCTAAGTACATTTCCATTATTAATTCCTATTAACTCTTTATTTTATTTTATTTTATTGGGGGAACAGCCATGGTCATTGGTTACACATTGCTTTCATGCTATAATGGCATAGTTGACTCTTTTAGGGAGGGCACAGCTCACAGTGACCCAGGCGGGATCAAACTGGCAACCTTGGTGTTATTAGCACCATGCTCTAACCAACTGAGCTAATCGGTCACCCAAATTTTAGCTCTTTTGGCAGGTACACAACAGTGCTGACTCAAGTGAAGTGTGAAGACACTGAACATTTGTTTTGGCTTTTCAACATCCTTTTTGCTTTTCTTCAGGTAACAGCAACTCTCCTCTACTTCCTTGAATGGTTCTGGTAGGATTGCCAACCACAGTATCCTGTACCCCTAGCCATAGGTTTGGGCCCATGACCTAGGCCCAGCCAATAAAAATTTCCTTTTCCTGGCCACAGTAATTGGTTCAATGATGAGCATGTGATCCAGATTAGGCCAATCAGAGTCCTTCCTTGGGATTTATTATATGGAGTTGGAAGAGAGAGCTCTACCTCTGGATTTGCCAAACTGGGATAATGTGCAAACTGGGATAATTATCTGGGATAATTCCCAGAACTCTCTATGCTATACCAACACAGAGAGAAAAGTTAAGAGTGAAAGAAAGAGGAGATTAAGAATATTGTTTGACAGTTTGTTTGGAGGTTCTAGCAGGGGAGTGCAGTTACTCGCATACCCTAGATCGAAGAATGGTCAACCTTCCTCTATCGGGGAAGGTTGTCCTCTTCAACTGAGCACGCAAAAATATTGTTTGAGGGCTGGCCACGTGGCTCAGTTGGTTAAGAGCTCGCTCAAGAGTGCCAGCTCTGAGCAACAGTGGTTCTATTCCCGGCCCGAGCTGAGTTGCTGCTGAGCTGCCAACAGGTGGCAGGATGGCTCAGCTAAAAAAAAAAAGAATATTGTTTGAATCCTTGGATTCAGCTAATTTTGAGGCCAGCTCTACTTCTGTCCTTCCCAATCAATGTCCCTTTATGGCTTAATCTAGATTGAGTCTGTCTTCTGTCACTAGAACAAACTAATTAATACTCAGTTCTTTGTCTTCTAATTGTGTAGTTAATTTTTTTATCCTAAATGAAGGGCTTCACATTTATCCCTATTAGGTTTCATACTTTCTTCCATCCTTCCAGTTTATAGAAAAAATTTAGAATTGTGATTCTGTTAGTCAATCAATTACCTATGCCTCTCACTTTTGATATGGGTACCTTCTATGTACTCATCCAAATCATTGATAAAAATGTTGAGTTGGACAGATTAAAAAAAAAAGAAAAAATCAGCATCATGTCAGTTAATCAATCAATAAGTATACTTTTGAGATGGTTTTTCAGACAACTGTGAATCTACTCAACTATACTTTTACCCAGCCTGCACCCTCCAGCCCATCTCCTAGAGCTCAAGACTTGATGAGGCCCCATGCTGAAGACCATGCTGCACTTTGGCATTCTGCTGAGCTACCTGTTGATAATTTCATCGAAAAAAGACATGAGATTGAAAACCCAAAACTGATCCTATTCTTTAAAATGCTCACAAGCCCTCAGTAACCCATCCCCTTTCCTGTGCACTCATGCGTGCACACGCATAGACATGCTCCCTCACCCATCTCCGCCTCTGCCTCCTCACTCCTTACTTGACTCATCTGCAAAAAAACCAGTTTTTAAAAAGTGTATTAGGTCAGCATGAAGGAAGAAGAGAGTCAGTCTTTTGGGGAAGAGGAAACCCTTACTTCAGAACAATCTGTGACACACAGCACTTGGGAAAGGGAGATGGGGAGAATGGAAGAGGAGTATTTCTTAGCCACACCTTGACTCTGGGGGGCTTAGTAAAGCCTGGTGCTGGAGGGTGGGAGCTCAAGCCACAGAGACCCACTGTCGTTCCAGTCTGGCCTGTAGGCGGCAGTATTGTGCAGCAAGGAAGAGCTAGGAGAGGGCTAGGCCCGGCTCTCAGTCCTGGCACTATCACTTGCTAATCTCCTGCCACTACTTTGTACCATGTTTCTCTCTTTCCACTCTTTCATACTTCATTCTACTCAGTTACCAGCTTCCAGTGCTCCTCCCCCTAAATGCTTCTCATATCCACTTCTCTCTAGCTTCATTGCCACATTCATGTAATCATCATCTCTTCAAATATTTCTTCTGCCCCATTCCCTCCCTCTCTCTTTACCTTCTGGGATGCAAATTACACATTTATTAGATTGTTTGATATGATTTCACAGCTTTTGGAAGCTTGGTTTTGTTTTCTCCACCACACCACTCCTTTTTCTCTTTCTGTTTCAGTTTGGATGATTTCTACTGACCTTTCTCAAGTTCGTTGGTTCTTTCCTTAGCTGTGTCTAGCTATTGAAAAGCCTTTTGAAGGAATTCATCTCTGATATAATGTGGTTTTTTTTTTAATTTCTAGATTTCTATTTGACTTTCTTATAGTTTCCACATCTCTGCCAAAAGTCCCCACCTGTTCATTCAATTTGCCCACCTTTTTCCACTAGACCCTTTAAGATACGTCATTATTATTTTAAAGTCTCTATCGGGTAGTTCCAATGTCTGTGTTATCTGTGAGTCTGGTTCTGTGAATTTCTTTATCTTTTGACCATGGATTGGGTTTTTTTCTTTCTTGCCTTTTTGTATGTTTTGTAAATTTCTATTGAATGCCTATCATGTGTAGAAGAGCAGAGACTGAGGTAAATAGCATTTATGCCTGTAAGTGGGTATGCCTCTTCTGTCAGCCTCTTGGTCTGGGAGGTTGAGTCAACCTAACCAGGCAAGTTTTGGGTTTTGTGGTTGCTATTATTACCTCAGTGCAACACAGACTTCAAGTTCCTTTAGTGGTGGGCTGGTTAGAGTGGGGACTGGGGTTTCAGAGCTTTTTCCTGTGTTCCTGTTTCATCCTCAGTTTTTCAGTCATCCCCACATGCCTGCCTGCCCTCTATCAGCTGTAGGTATAATTGCTCACTATTTGGTGCTAGGCTCATGGAGAGGCAGGGCATGGGGGTGGGAGGAAGGGCGTATGTCTGTCATTCTGGTTCAGCTTCAGTCTTAGGCCAGTCCTATGCTCCTGAGCCTCAGGAGAGGGGCTTTCTCAGTATGTCTGCCCCTATTCCCTATGACAGCTAAACTTGGCCTTATCTCTGTGGTTGGTTTTGGGTGCCCTATTCTCCAGCAGAGTAGACCCCTCCTTGAATCTTCAACCCAAGACAGTTTCCTGCTTCTCCCTAAGAGTAGAGGGCATTTGTTTCTACTCTTCCCCTAGAAGCAATGGATTTTTGCCTGTGTTCAAGAAGGGCAAGAAACTTTTTACCCCTTACCCCAAAAGCAGAGGAGTTTTGCTTTTATTCCGCTGAAGCAAGAGTTTGCTCCTCCCCCAGTGGTTTAAGGCTTTTCTTATAGAAGCAGCTGAGGCTTTTTTCATTCCCCCAGCAGCTGCCTTAACCAACTCCTGCATGCTCGCACACCAAGGAGGAAAGCTCTTTGCCAGTTCCTGCTCTGCTCCCACTTTTTCTCATGAACCTCGGGGGAGGCCTGTGGGGAAAAAAGCTTGCCTGTGAGTACAAATGCACCAGTGCATGCTAGCCCATGTGTAGCCTTTCAAATTTTATTAAAATGTTTGTTAGTTTCTCCATACCCGCTTGTGTGACAGCCACCTCTTTGCTGCATGCTCTGTTAAAGTTGAAGCAGTTTGTGTCCCTCCCTCTCCTTGAACAGGTTTTATTTTGTTGCCTTGTGACCTCAGCTTTCTTAGGGCTCAGGAAAAGCTATGATTTTGTAGATTATCTGGCTAGTTCTCATTATCAGGATGGGAGTGACATTATCTTGCAACATTTCACATCCTAAGTAGAACTAGAAGTCCTCAAGTCACTATCATCTCTTTCTCAGACAAATGCAACCACCTCACAACTGGTCCCCTGCATCCAATTTTGCTCCTCTCTATACTGCATCCAGTAAAGTATAAAAATTCTGTCATCAGAAACTTGAAGGAATACAATACCGTATTCCCCCATGTATAAGACGCACCCTTTTCTGAAAAATTTGGGGTCTGAAAACTGGGTGCGTCTTATACAGTGGTTGTAGGGGTTTTTTTACTTGCATTTCCCGCTCTTTTCATGCTTGTTTTTGTGCTCATACAACCACTGTATAAGATGCACCCAGTTTTCAGACCCCAAATTTTTCAGAAAAGGGTGTGTCTTATACATGGGGGAAATACGGTACTTGAAATTAGCTACATAAAATCTGAAACCTAGGTCATGATATACCAGTTATCTATTGCTGACTATCAAACCAACCCAAGACTTAGTGGCTTAAACCATGACATTTGTTTTGTTCATGAATCTACAGGGCTTTGCAGAGACAGCTGGGGCAGCTTTAAGACTAGGGCCTGAAATCGTTTGAATCACTTATATATCTGATGCCTGGGAGGGAAGACTCAAACAGCTGGGACTAAACTGCTGGGAGCACCTTTGTCTCTGTGTGGCCTCTTTAGTATGGTGGCTTCAGGGTTGCCAGACTTCTTACCTGTTTGTTGGTTCAGAACTACGAAAGAGCATGTTGAGAGAAAGAGAGAGAGCGTGCACACCTAGATGGAATGTTTTTGTGACCTAGGCTCAGAAGTCACATTGTTTGTGCTGCACTTTATTAGTAGGTTGAAGGGGAAGGAATATTGACCCAACATCTCAATGGAGTGAACACATCACAGTGTAAAATGAAAGTGTGAAATATGATATATTGATATGGCAATCTTTAGGAAATACAATTTACCATACATGATTCTATTTGTTCTGCAATAGTGAAAAAAATTAACTGCAAAGAAATCAAGCTAAAAAAATAAAATCAAAGGATAACCATGAGCCCTCTAATTGAATTATTTCATGTACACATATCATTGCCAAGTATAAATTTGTGCACTTCTAATCAATTTAACTATGTCACGCCCATAGCAGCCATAACCATCTTTCCAGATGCGAATATGATCTTGTCACTGCCCCTCTTAAAATGGCCCATTAGCTCTCTATTGTCCCCACAACGATTTCCAAACTCCTTAACATGGCTTATACAGCCCTTCACACCCAGCCTTGTTTATTAATTTTCAACCTCGCCTTTTGATGCTTCCTCCTTTGTCCTTTATGCTCCAGCTACACTGAAATACTTTCCAGTCTCCAAACTTTCTTTTGCCTTTAGACCTTCGTACATGGCTGTTTTCCTCTTCTGGGACTTTTCTCTGCTTCCATGCCCTATCCCTCTATTCTGCTATTCATTTTTCTGGACTCAGCTTCCCTATTATGGCCTCTCTCCTATCTCTCACTCCAACTGGCCTAGAGCTCTCATATCTCCTTCCCACATGCTCTCAAAACTCCCTGTGCTTACACTTAGGCTCTACAGCACTAGTGATTACTGCACTAATTAGCAAGGCCATATCTCCCCCTCGATCATTCCATGTGGGAAGATGTGGTTTTGTTTTATTTACTACCATGCACAGCACCTGAAGCCTGGCAAGGGCTCAACAAATACTGGTTAGATGAATGAATCTGTGCCTTAAATAACCACTTCTGAGTTCAAGTAAACACCCCTCCCACAAACCTAAGATTGCTATGGCAGTGTCCTGTCTTGAATCTTATAACTAAAGTGGGGCAAAAGCTGGTTGGAATAGTTTGGAATTTTCAGGAAAATGTTGACTGTTTCATCTGACTGGAGCTGTTTTCAGCCTTGGGGACTCACTCCAAGGCAGGGCCAGGGAGTGGCTCTGGGGCGTCTTACCTCTTCTAGCAATAGTCCTCGTGAGCAGGCCTGCCTGGAAGGGACACACACCTCAGCAACAGCTGGGGGGGAGTTTGTTTACTTGCTGTGCCTATATCCAGAGCCTATTTCTGGAGCAGGTTCTGGACACAAGCCTATGCCATTCCAGCACTGATCTTGCCAAGCCCTGGGTGATGAGCACATGTGCCGTCAGAGAACAGTGGCAGTCGTTTGGCTTATCTCCCTGGCTCCAACCCAGCCTTCTCTGGGCATACCAAGTCATTACTGCTTTGCCCTTGTTGGTCATTGCCCTTCTGTAGCCCTAAAGTTTAGCACTAAATATTGCTCCGTTTTCTCTAACTTTCCGTCTGTTTCACTAAGGACATGAGGAAGGAAGTTAGGGGTGATAAGAAACTTACAAATTTTACTGATTTGAGGAAGTCCTAACTAGAGTTTCTTGGGACTTTCCAGGGTCAAAGGAAACAGGTCAGTATTTTTGGCCAATACGATTTTTCCTATGGTTGGTCCAGTTTCTGAAAGGGAACTGGAACACAAAGAGATCATTTGACTTATTTATGATCACACAGTAAGCCACAGGACAAAGATAGCACCCAAGACTCTTGGTTTCAAGTTTAGTGCCACTTAAATAGCCTAAGATAAATCTATTTTAATAAGTTAGCTTCGGGAACTAAGATCAAATTTGTTTTTGGTAGAGTTTCACCTTTTTTTAGAGCCATCACTTAAGATGTCACCTCAAACCAATTAAGAAACCATAGTGGGCCGACCTAGTGGCACGTTGGTTAAGAGCTGGCTTGGGATGCCAGAGGGCCCCGGTTCGGATCCCACATGTGAGGGCCAGTGACACTGCCTTCTACAGCTAAGATGCTGAACAACAGCTCAACCTGGAGCTGGGCTGCTGTGAGTCGCTGGGGACAATATAGGCTGCAGCCCCTGCTGCACTGGGTTGCCATGGGCTACCATGTGTAGCCAGCAGCCAGCGTGAGCGGCCCTCAAGCCATGGTAAGCGGCCGTCCAGAAGCCAGAGACTGATCTGCCTCACCCGGAAAAAGCACAATGATGGTGCCAACTTGGGCCGGTGAAGCAACGTCCTCCACAACTAGACTGAAGAACAAAAGGACAGCAACTTGTCTGTTCCCCTTCCCCCAATTCCCCAATAAAAATCTTTTTAAAAAAAGAAACCATAGTTACAATGGTTTATTAGACTCCCTTTTGTGGAAACTTGTCTCTATCAAAGAGTTAAGCAAGAAGGTAGCCAGAGATTTGAGGCCTTCCCTTCATCTCTCTCCTCACCCAGGTTTTCACATGGGGCTAAAAGCCTTTCAGTCCTACAGCTCCTTTTTGGTTCCTCTAAATCACCTCCCCATCTTCTCATATTAGAATTTCTGTTTCTTAGGTTGAAAATAGGAGGTAGAAAAAAGGTAAAGCTAGAATCTTATCTGAATTACAGAAACACTATTTTCTGATATAGAAACATCTCCAAACTATGTTATGATCAGTTGCTCTTTGGGAGAGTGTTTTGGGATCTTATTGCTTTTTTTCTTTAATTGTTGTTATGGAGGAAGAATTATTTTTGTTTACCAGGCTGGGAGCAAAAAAAATTAGTCTTTCTTTTTTTTTTTTTTTTTAAACCTATCCATCCAGCTGAAAGCCATCAGATGGCCCTGAAGGAGTGAGGTCTGACACCTGAACCCCAGGCAGAGATGGCAGCTTGCAAGTTTGGTCCAGAGCCAGATGATTGTCCATGTCTGGCTTCCTCAAAGTGTCTGGGAAACACAGAGGCCCACTCTCTATGTGAAAGGTATCCTACTAATAAAAAGCAGTAGGAATAAAGCTAACACCATTAGTCAATGAAAACACAGGGAAAATATATCTGGAAATTACAACAAAAATATTCATATAATTTAGGCAAGGATATGGAATCACCTGGTTGGTTCCCATCTTTTCGGACAAAGAAAACACTTGATTTAGAAATGAGCAAATGTTCTCTGAAGATTTTTATGGCCACCCTGCACATCATTAGGGACTTGGAACCCATTACTCAGAAAGAAGTTCCATGGAGCCACGGCCTCAGAATTGTACCCTCAGAGCACGGAGGTTTGGCTTGTCAAAGGGCACGTGTTAGAAACAGGAGGCTGGCAAAAGTTACCAGCTCCCCTGCGTTGGCATTTGTTTTTACCTCCCCACTGCCTGGGAGCATCTCTCTGGGAGGAATCAGGTCAATAGCACCACACACACAGCTGTTCCGATGAGAAAAGTTTTATGCGTACAACACAAACTAAACAAGAACACCAAAAACAAGGAGGGAAGCACAGGCTCAGCCAGGAAAGCTGCTACAGGGAGCAAGCAGGGAACTATTTAGCAGTCCTGTCAAATCCCAACACCATATTTGCAAGTCTAATTTGGAACTTAGCCCTTTTTAAGTGCAGGAATAAGTTAGGGGAGAAACTCGGCACGAAATAAAAAATATATACACACAGAAACACCCAGCTTTTCACACTTCTTGTGTCCATTTCCCCCACGAGGAACAAATCAGGCGAAGGAAAAGCCCAGGCTCTTTTCTTAAAGTCCCTCTATTTATTATGGACTTGTTAGAGGAGCCCCCAATGGAGCTTGGGTTCAAGAAGGCAGACTTCACTCACCTTGGCCCACAATTTACCAAGGGAATGCTCGGGAAACAGGCAGGAATATCCAGAAGAGGCAAGGAAAAATATGGCTCACTTAACTTATGTGTACATTATACATAAGGGCATCAGTCTCCAAACACATTTACACTAGTCCTTCACTAGATTCTTAGCAGACTTCTCATCTGCAGCACCAGAACTGAGGCAAGCTGTGGGACATACAGGAAAGCGGGAGTTTGAGTCAACGTCACTTCATCCAAGACAGTCACACATGCCAGCCCCAAGCAAGTCCTCAGGGGCCCCGCAGCTGTTTGCTTTGGGGAGTGGAAGGTTGGGCTTTTCCCTTCTTAGATTTCTCCTTGCTGCTGCTGCTGTCGCTGAGCTCTCCACTGTTCCCTGTGGACCGGAGACAGCTGCTCAGTGTGTTCAGCATGCGTGCGTGCGTGTGTGTGTGTGTGTGTGTGTGTGTGTGTGTGCGTGTATAATTTATTGTTCCGCTGCCGCTGGCTCGTCCCCAGCCACTGGCTTCTCAACCTGTGACTCTGGAGGAATCAGATACTGGACCTCTTCTGTACTGATGGCTACTTTATCTGGCTGGAGCCACCTCTTGAAATGTTCCAAGGTGCTAGAAAAGAGCAAGAGAAAAGGGTAGCTGCATCAGACCGTGATGATTAATTACTTAATGATTATCTCAGTTACTCAAATGCTGCCCTCCCACCCACCACCAATTTCTTCCTACAATTGTTTTGCACTGCTAACATGGGGAGAAAGACGATCCTCCTCTGACAGCTGTGCATCCTGGCAGCTCCCAGGCATAATTTACCCCCTGGTGGGCACTCTGGCTACAAGCACTAGGCTCCCTTCAAATGCAGAACCTTGGAAAGCATGATGAGAATAGCTGAAGAGTATATGCCTCCATCCTTTTTTCCCTCAAAACTGAAGAGGAGAGAAATTGTCAAGGGGAGGAAACATTCAAATAAATACCAAATTATTAGCGAAGCAGAAACCTGAGCATCTTGAAATCTCTTATACCTGAGGCAGTCTGAAACTCAATTATGTTTAGCTGCACTGAGCATGATTTGTTTGCTTGTTTGTGGGCTTTTTGTTTAGTTCATCCCATAGCAAGTCCCCAAGATAGAAACATCTGAGCGGCAGTGTCCCCACAAATGAATGGCCACTCTGCCAAAGGGCCCCTTTTTTTGTCTGGATCTGTGGGGAGGGAGAGGGTTCCCCTCCTACCTTCCTCACCTACCCAGGATCCTCACTCTAAATCTGTTAGACATTCATGGTAAAATATAAAATACTAGAAATAATATAAATTGTATTCTATGCTCTTAAGCCAAGACATAAAGCCACACCCAGCAGATTTTAGACACCTGCCAGCGTAGGGGGGAATCCAGTTGTGTACAGCTGGTTTCCCAGCCCATTACTCGCTTGCCAAAAGCAGACCATGGGGTGGGTCACCTACCTGGCCTTCACATATGTGAAGGACCACACAATCCCACTACAGAATGGCCTGTTAAAACATAAACTTTGGGCTGGCCGAGTGGCGCGTTGGTTAGGAGTTGGCTTGGGATGCCAGCTCTGAGCAGCAGGGCTCCGCTTCGGATCCCACATACGAGGGCCAGTGATGCTGCGCCCTCTACAGCTCAGATGGTGAACAACAGCTCGACCTGGAGCTAGGCAACTGTGAGTCGCCAGTGACGGTATAGGCTGCAGTGGGGCTGGCAGGCAGCAGGCATAAGCTTTCGTGAGCTGCTGTGAGCAGCCGTCCAATGGACGGCGAGTGACTGCCTCACCCGGGAAGAGCACAACGATAATACTGACATGGGCCAGTGAAGCCATGTCCTCTGCAACTAGACTGAAGAACAAAAGGACAGCAACTTGTCTGTTCCCCTTCCCTGATTCCCCAACGCTGTTCCCCTCCCCCAATTCCCCAATAAAATCTTTAAAAAACCCCCAAAAACATAAACTTTGAAGTTTGAGAACAGATGCATATCTACTGTTTCCTGGTTCTTGTTTTGAACAATGATAGAAAGAAGCATTCCCACAGATGTAGGCTCTGGGGAAACACTGACCCACACACAGCTCAGGGGATTCAGGTGCAACAGGGGCATTTAATCACCTACCACACTTTTCATAGAATTGTTTCAATTATTTCTATAGAGAAGGGAAAATCACAGTATTTTAGGTATTGATAAATACACAGAAGCATTAACTTGAGCCTTGGTGCTGATCTGATTTCAGAGAAAATGAATTCCAGTTGAGAATTAGGCAGGAAAAAATTTTGTCCTTCTCAGAAGTGGAAAGGAGGGAGCTATTCAAGGAGAGAGAATATAATAATACCAAATTATTAGTGGGTCAGGAATCTGTATCTTCAAGTCTTTCTGTGTTTGGAGCAGTTTAAGATACAGAAAAGCAAAAATTATATTATTTTCTGAACCCTGAGAGGGTAACTGGTCTGACCTTAAATGCCACACTGATTTCTAAAGGATCTTGGGGAATGCTGATTCGGTATTCAAGATACTATAAGTAGAAAATGTAAAAATGCAAGTTACAAAGTAAAACTGTAACTATAAAGTTTTATTTGCACACTGTCCATGATTTCAGCAGCAGTATCTTCATCTGATACCACAGGACTCTCAAAATCAATGTTAATGATAGGTTGCAAACCTAGGTTAAGTCCTATTCTCCTAAGACCTTTTGGTAAAATTCAGGGTTTTACTTCTTTCAGTGATCTTTATTTCGAATAATTTCTTACTGAACTTTAAACTTCTGTTAGGAAAAATATTAATAATAACTAACACTTAAATCATACTTACCAGGTACCAGGCACTGTTCTAAGCACTTTACACATAGTAACTCACTACCCTCACAACAACCTTATGAGGTAAGAGCTACTACTCCCGCTTTATTGAAGAAACTGAGGCACACAAAGGTTACTTACCCAAGGACATACAACCAGTAAGTGGCAGGGCCACCTTCCCAGTGTCACGCATTACCCTGCTTTTGGTGGCCTCTCTCCTTTCTGCATCTGACCCACCTGCAGGTACTGTTCAAGTCCTGCCTCCTTCCCTGGCACAGACACCAGAGCCCATAGGGAGCTCAGTGGTCTCCCGACTCCCAAAGCATGTTCTGTTACTTCTACTCATCTGGCTCTTCTCTTATGCTGCCTTGTATTGTTATATACACATGTATTTGTCATCTCTCTCCAAGTAGTTCTGAGGACCAAGAAAAGGGTCTAAAACTTCCTTATATCTCCCCTCCACCGCATATCCCCAGCCCCATGACTGACCAAGCACAGTGCCTTCATGCAGCAGATGCTTAATGAATTCATTTATTTAGTCTACACAAAGTTGAATGGCTACAATATGACAGAAACTCTATAAGACAAGGGAGATTCAGAGATAAGAAAACATAGCTCCAACTGTTGACTGATTACTACTTTCTCAAGCGCATTATATACTTAAAAATTAAGACAATGGTTTATCCTCAATGATATCCAATCTGTGATCAGGATGCAGCTGGAGTATTTACCTTTTGGCAAAAATACCCATTCTCAAAAATCTGCTGCTGAACTTAGAGCAAATAGAGCAAATTTACAAAGGATGATCTTAGCTCAGAAAAGTTGATATTGCTATCAACTAATATCTCAACTCACTCTCCCTGAATTCTTTAGAAAAACAGAAATGCCCGCAGCAAAACACACTGTCACCTGGAACTGGATTGGGAGTCAATTTACCTCTCATCAGAATCAAGTCCGTCCACAAAGAACTCCGATGCTAACTTCTCCTGGAGGAATCGATCCCAGCATTCCTTCTTGGCTTGGGCCAGGGTTCGAAGCATGTCCTTAGAGGTCACTTCCTGACTTAAACCTTTGATTCTTCTCAGTTTCTTCTCTAAAGAGTTTAACAAAGAAAGTGAGTATGAAATGAAACTAAATCTAAAATGCAAAATGCCAATTTAAAAATTCTTTCACTGATGCGTACATCCACACCCCCTAAAAAAGAGCTCATTTTTAAGGAGGATAGATAAAGGGAAACGTACATTTTTCTTTTTCCTTCACAGTGTCTTCATTCTACATTGTATCAAATAAATGTTTAACCCCAGAAAAGGGAAAAGCCATACTTTTCATAAATCAATAGCATGTTTTCTTTGAAATCACAGAAGCCCAGCAGGTATCTCTCTAAGGAATGCTTGCTTTCCCTGGCTTGACATGTGTATCCTATCGTCTCTTTTCAACTCCTTCAAAATAGTCTCTCTGAGGAGTCAATGGTTTTTCTTTTTGTTACAGTGACAAAAAGCAGTTTCCAAACCTCATGAGAAAGAATTAGATAAAATGATGAGAGATCCAATGATTCATTAGACACTAAAACTGACTTGGTGAGAACTCAATAATAAGAGACCTTTAAGATCTCTATGTATAATTAAATTCTTGATTAAAGAGAAGGAATCTCCCAACATTTCTTAAAGTTGCTCAACTTGTGGCCTGGATATTGGAGCCTAATCAAACAAACATCTTGTAATCCCTGTGAGAGTGTTCCATATGGCTTCCTGATAATAGATGTTTAATTATTCTTATTTGCATTTCAAGTATATCTGTTGAACAGATATCCTCTTTTGAAGAATACAAGAAACGGTATCACCATTTACCTTCTGCTTTAATTTAGTCTTGCCTTCAAATATAATAAATGGGTAAATGACAGTTTTTTGGGGAGGGCAGAGGTGGGCATCAAGCCCCCAAACAATAGAAACTTTATGATTTGCCATTCTGTTTTCATTTCTAAACAGGCCACTTCAGCTAGCATCCACTGATCAAAACAATAAATAACTTTTGTTGCTTCAAGTTACCACCAAGAGCTCACCCATGTAAAACACTTGCAGTTGATAAATGTTAAGTATTTGAGGAATTTTTTTCTCCTTGAGGATATGAAAAGGATTATGTATATCTCATGTTGAACTGGCTGAGTTTCTAATTGTTGATCTTAGTGAATTCTCTTTGATATAGGTTTATTTGGCAATAAAAACAATCTTTATATTGTCTGGCGTGGCTGTCAAGGTGTAAGGAACTCTTGGGGCTGGAAAAGGTCTTCCTCTCTCTGAGTGTGCTGAGCCCCTGATTAGGTGTGATCTAAGTTGGGCAGGCAGAAACAGGTGTCATTGCATACTCCAAACCTGCCTGCCATTGTCTCTCAGACTCTGCCATAGGCACCAGAAATGTCTCTTATTTTCCTCAGAGAAGAAAACTTGAATCATCTTCTTAACTGATTATAGAAAAGATCAGGGGAGTTTTAACTTTCTGAACCAATCAAAATCATCACCAAATCCACAAAAGTTTCTTATAGCCCCTGGGCTCTGAGCAACAACAAGCCAAAGGATCTGATTCTTCAGCTTTCTCAGAGTGTTGCTTCTTCTCCTTATTATCATTAAACAGATGTTCTGATTACCACAAAACAGACTCATCAACCTCCTCAGTCATGGCTGCAAATATTACTATCCTATCTTTGGTGGCTTCCCGACAAATCTCACATTATATAGCCTCATCTTTCTCATTTTGCATCATTCTACCTATGTTTTTCTCATGTCTTTTTCCTCCACTACATCATTAACAAAATTCCTTTTGTTTTTCCAAGATATTTCTTAGCAGTCATGTGAATTCTATTCTGACTCTTCTGTCTTTCCTCAAAAGCTGCTTTTTCCTGAACTGCCTTTCCTTCCTCAAATAATTATTCCCAGGTTTGGTTTTGTGACACATATTAAATAGATGGGTCTCATAGATTTTATA